TATCTATCTATCTATCTATCTATCTATCTATCTATCTATCTATCTATTCACTTTACAGCCTGATCCTAGCGTCTTCCCGCCTCTCCTCCCAATCCCACCTTCATGTCCCCTCCCTCAACTCCCCCTCTCCTTCTCAGATGAAGGGGGGATGCAGACAGGAAGTGCTGTCTGCTGCCTTCCGGGTAGGTTGAAACCGGAAGAGCAGGTTTGACTGCCTTGCCTCGGTTGCAGTGTGGGCTCTGCAGGAGGGTCACCAAGAACTCCGGGCTTGCTGAAGTGATGGGGTTGCTCCTCCTGACCCTTAGCTCTTTTCTCTCCTCATCTGGACCTGAGTTACTTCTGGAGCTCCTCCTAATCGGAGACAGGGTTACCCACCCACTGTACTGTAACTAGAGCCGGCCTACACGTGACAGACGCGCACCCACAGGGACAGGGCCTCCTGCTTGTCTGGCAGGTATCAAGGTCAGGGAAGGGAAGGCAAATTGAAGGGAGAGAGATTCCACTTCAACAAAACTGTCAAGCTCTGTGTAGAAGTGAAATACAGGGTTGGCAGTTTGGGGGCACAGAGCATAATTTATCGGGATTTCCTGAAAGCCTTTGATAAAGAGCACCTGACAACTGGCTTTTGAAAGCTAAAGCAGGAAGACCCCGTATGAAATACATCACTAAGAATGACACAAAGGAGAGGGTGAGGGCGGGGAACAGATGCTGTCCTGCATCAGCAGATTCACCGCGGGGCTTTCTCCAATGCTTACACGTGCCCAACACCGTGTGTGTGTGTGTGTGTGTGTGTGTGTGTGTGTGTGTGTGTGTGTGCACGTAAGTGGATAGGACACAGGAGAGGGCTCAATAAGAAACATCTGCCCGCTCTGCTGTCTTATAGCAAAGATAATTTTTTTTGTATCAGCCTGGTTGGAGGGAAGAGTGTAGCAAACTTCAGCACTTACTGAGCACTTACTATCTAAACTAACTTTACTGCAATGATCATTAAATTTCATGAGCAATGGGAAAGCTTAGAGCTAAGGGAGCTTGGATGTGGGAGCAGTTAACTCTGCTGCTGGTGTTGTGGGGTGTCGTAGCAGCTCCATCCTGACCATATATTGGAACCATTCAGGGAGTCTCTTGAAAGCACTACTGCCTGGGCACCGATCCTGGGCAATTAAATCACAACAGTTTAGTTCAGACCTGGGCCTTGGTATTTCTGTAAGGCTCCCTGGGCCACTGTGATGTGCAGCCAAAGTTATGATGTAGTACCGTGGATGGCATTTCAATGTCATCTTTAAAAAGGCACTGAGTTACAGGGTGGCTTAGAGGCTGTGATGATGGGTGGGGAGAACGGAGGCCCCCTGAAGCAGCTAGGAGAGGTGTGGGTGTTGTGGGAGGGGTGAAGAGTGACAGGAAGAATGGGCTGAGAGAAATCCCAGTTCCAAAGCTGGCTTTGAGAAGTGCTGATCCCTAGCAACCCCTACAACCACTGCCTCTGGACTCTCCCCTCCGCTGTGAGTACAGTATAAGTTACAAGAGCACATGCTTTGCAATTTTCACACACTGACAGAATATGAGATACAATTTATTCAATAATCATAAACAAAACAATGCCCTTTATATATGACCTTTTATTATTTCCAAAACTATAACTCAGAACTTTATTACTTTGTCTAAATCTTCTAAATTAGCTTAGAAGTTTTTGAAGTAAAAATGGGACTACCAGAGCTACAGCTCAGGGGCGGAGAGCCTGACTTGCACGTGAAGCCTGAGGTTCTAGAAACAAAGGAACGCTGACAGGAAAAAGCAGCACTCATAGGCCCAAGACCCAGAACTCTCATCAGAAAAAAAAAAACAAAAAACCTATTCCATTGTTCTGGTACAGATGCCACAGGCTCATTAGAAAGATTCGGCCAATGTGGAAACAAAGCTGAAGAAACCGCATCAACTTTCATTAGGAGACCTGTCCTCCTTGGTATCTTTATAACAGTTGATATACTGATGTATGATAACAGAATGTGCGTTTCCTTATTCAATCTGACATAAATGTAATAGAGGGAAAGGGTCTGAATTTGAAACATCAAACCGTGTTACTGAGCTTGTTATTACTATTGTTATTTTGTTTATTTTCATGTAGCCCGTGTTGCCTTCAACTTGCTATGCAGCTAAGGGTGACCTTGAATGTCTGAGTCTCTTCCCGGAGATGCAGGCATATGCCACCATGCCCAGTTTATGTGTTACTTGGGATTGAACTCAGGGTTTTGTGCTCACTAGGCAAGCACTCTTCCAACTGAACCCCAGCCTCAGCATCAGCAAATTATTAGAGCTTAACACATATTCCTCTACCCCAGGGTCTCTCTAAAGTAAAGATGTTTCCTCTACACAGGTAATTTTTTTTTCTTAAAGGAGAAGAGTAGATTTGCAGGCCTGTGCACATGCAGGTTGACTGCCATAACTGAAAAGCAGAACTGACAGCATGTAAAAAGAGTGAAGCTGACAGCTGAGGCCTGAATGTCTGTGACCCCAAGATGGAAGTTAAAATGGATACTCCGGGGGTGTTGACAGGAGGTGGGACCTCTGAGAGGTGACTGAGTCATGAGGATAGAGCCTTCAGACATGGGGCTAGGGCCAGAGACTGGCCTTTCTTGCCACCATGTGAGACACAATGAGGAAGGAGCCTCACACTCAGAAAGCAGGTCTCCACTAGATGCTGAATCTAAGAGGCTTACCCTTGAACTTCCCAGCACAACTGCTATAAGAAACCTGTTTCCTCTGCTGTGAGCAGTCAGCTCTGGGACGTTTTGTTAGGGACTGGAAAGACCAAGATGCCATTTTCTGATGAAACTTTATTCACAGGAGCAGGCTAACCCTCAGGCAATAGTTGGTAGACTGGTGTTGTCCAGCTGAATAAAGCTAATTGTGAAAACACTGAGCTTTCCTAGCCCGGGTTATCGTGGACAGTACATCCTAACTTCAGAAGCTGGGCATCAGGCTTCCTGCTCCGCTCACCTCCTTCCTTTCAATTCCAGAGTATTTC